TGCTGCCCATCTATTTTGGTTCTAGGAACACCATGATCAGTTAGCCAATGCCAGTGATCTCTGTAGGTCAAACCATTTTGTTTATTGCTTTGACTCCACTACCCATTGTGTTAAACATGTCCACTTTGTCTCTGGGAGTTAATTGCTACTATTTGGTCTCTGTTACCCAAGATCCAATGACTCCCACTGAATTCAGGGAACCCATTTTGATGGTACCAGTGTTTGCTGTTATTCTTTGTCTTCTAGCCACTTGGAGCTTATCAAGCTACACAGAGTTCATCAAGGAGGCTGGGACTTCCATTACTAATATATTTCTCAAGCCTTGGTAAAGGAAGTGTTTTCTGAATTCTCCCAAAAAACATAGAGAATGAGAAGGACTTACATAGTAAATACTTTCCATATGTTAGAAAAGTTATGAACTGTTTTCCCTAAACACTCCAGAATGGCACTAATGTTTGCAAGATAATGAATTTATTTGGCCAGGCATGGTGGCTCACGCCTATAATCCCAGTATTTTGGGAGGCCGAGGTGGGTGGATCACAAGGTCAGAAGATTGAGATCATCTGAATAGAAACCTCCAGTGATCTTCACCCCCACAGGAACACGAAATTTAATAGCTATCTAGGCAAAAAACCACCTTCATAAGAACCAAAAATCAGATGAGCAGTCACAGTACCTGTTTTAAACTTCCTATCACTGAAAGAGGCATGGAAGAGGGTTGAGAGTCTTGAATTGTTGACACCACCCCTCTTCCATGCCCTAGCAGCAGCTGTGTGGTGGGGAGAATCTGTGCATTTGGGGGAGGGAGTGCACAGTGATTGTGGGACTTTCATTGAAGCTCAGTACTGCCCTGTCACAGTGGAAAGCAATACTGAGAATAAGCCAGTGCTCATGGAGGGAGCATTTAGACTAGCCCTAGCCAGAGGGAAATTGTCCATCTAAGCAGTTGGAATTTGAACTCTGTCAAGCCTTGCCACTGTGGGCTGAAGTGCTCTCGGGTCCTAAATAAACTTGAAAGACAATCTTGGCCACCATGACTGCAACTCCTAGGCAAATCCTAGTGCTGTGCTGGGCTTGGAGTCAGTGGACTTAGAGGGCATGTGACCTGGTGAGACACCAGCAGGGGCAGCAAAGGGAATGCTTGCAGTACCCCACCTCCAACTTCAGGCAGCACAGCTCATAGTTCTGAAATATACCCCTTCTTTCTACTTGAGAGGTGAGGGAAGAGTAAAGAGAACTTTTTCCTGGATACCAGCTCGGTCACAGAAGGATGGAGCACAAGGAAGAGTCCTGAGACACTCATTCCAGGCCTTAGCTCCCAGATGACATTTCCAGACCCTGGGCCAGAAGGGAACCCACTGCCTTAAAGTGAAGAACCCAGTCCTGGCAGGATTTATCACCTATTGACTAAAGAACCCCTGGGGCCTGAATTAGTCAGCAGCAATACCCATGTAGTATACACTGTGGACCTTTGGTGAGACTCAGATCTGCTGGTTTGAAGTGTGACCTAGCACATTCACAGCTATAGTGGCTATAGCAAGAGATTCTTTCTGCTTGAGAACAGCAGACAGAGGAATAAATGGGACTTTGTCGTGCAGCTTAGTTAACAGCTTGGCCACAGAGTGGTAGAGCACTAAGTAGGTTCTTGGGGTCCCTGATTCCAGGCCTTGGCTCTTCGATGGCATTTCTGGACCTGCCCTTAGCCAAAGGGGAGTCTGCTGCCCTGAAGGTTGATTCCCAGACCTGGCAGCATTCACCACAAGCTGACTGACGAGCTCTTGGACCTTGAGTGAGCATCAGCAGCAGCCTGGAAGTACCCCTGGGTGGGCTTGTGACTATGATGGCCAGGGGAGAGACTCCTCTGCTTATGGAAAGGGGAGGGCAGAGTGGGAAGGACTTTGTCTTGTGCCAGTTTAGCCTCAGTAGAATAGAGTATCAGGAAGATTCCTAAGGTTTCCAACTCCAGGCCCTGGCTTCTGGACAGCATCTCTAGATCCTTCTAGGACCTGGGGGAATCTGCCATCTTGAAAAGAAGGACACAAGCCTGGCTGGCTTTACCACCTGCTGATTGTATAGCCCTAGGGCCTTGAACAAACATAGGCAGTCCCCAAGTAATGGTTATAGCAGGTCTTGGGTGATATTCAGTGCTGTGCTGACTTCAGGCTTGACCTAGTGCAGTCTTAATGGTGGTGGCCACAGGGGTGCTTGTGTCACTTCTCCCCCAGTTTTAGCCCAGCACAGAGAGACTCTGTTTGTTTGAGAAAAAGTAAGAGAAGAGAACAAGAGCCTCTACGTAGTAATCCAGAGAATTCTTCTGGATTTTATCAAGACCACAAAGGTGGTGCCTCTATGAGTTTGCAAGAACCACAGTGTTACTGGGCTTGGGGTGCCCCCTAATGCAGATATGGCTGCAGTGGCCAAATTTTAGATCACAACACCTAAAGCCCTTTGAATACCTGGAAAGCCTTCCCAAGAAGGACAGGAACTAGTAAGTCCAGACTGCGAAGGCTACAGTAAATAACTAACTCTTCAATGCCCAGACACTGACGAACATCCAAAAGCATCAGAACCATCCCAGAAAACATGACTTCAACAAACTAAATAAGGGACCAGAGACCAACCCTGGAGATAAAGAGATGTATGACCTTTCAGATAAGAATTCAAAGTAACTGTTTTGAGGAAACTCAAAAGAAGTTCAATATAACGCAGAGAAGTAATTCAAAATTCTATCAGATAAATTTAACAAAGAGATTGAAATAATTAAAAAGAAGCAGAAATTCTGGAGTTGAAAAATGCAGTTGACATAATGAAGAATGTGTCAGAGTCTCTTAATAGTAGATTTGATTAAGCAAAAGAAAGAATTAGTGAGCTTGAAGATAGATATTTGAAAAGACACAGTCAGAGGAGACAAAAGAAAACAGAATAAAGAAAGAATGAGGCACCCTTACAGAATTTAGAAAATAGTCTCAAAATGGCAAATTTAAGAGTTATTGGCCTTCAAGAGGAGGTAGAGAGAGAGAGAGATAGGGATAGAAAGTTTATTCAAATGGATAATAACAGAACTTTCCAAAGCTAGAGAAATGTATCAGTATTCAAGTACAAGAAGATTATAGAACACCAAGCAGATTTAACCCAGAGAAGACTATCTCAAGGCATTTACCAATCTAGCCATAGCAGACATAAAACTTTCTTTGTGCTTCAACTAATGTTTATTATATAAACATTTTCAGGAAAGAAAACTTTATTTTATGTAGAATATAAGAATGTGCATAGGTCAGTAAGGAGAGGGCATTTTGTCCCATTACTGTTCAGCACTCATATTAAGATGATTTTATTCTTCTGAATTTCTAAGAGGAAGTTTTCTCCCTTATTGTAAAAATGCAGATTTCCCGAGTGTCCTTGAATGATTTATTCATGGTCTACTTGTGTAGTAGCAAAAGAAAAGAATTATACATTACATTTTTTTTATCTTGTGCAAGAGAGGAATTTTAAAAAATATATTTAGTAAGACCTTTAATAAAATTTTTAATGAGTTGTCTTTCCAACTCATAGTCACTACAAAGAGTACTGTCTCCTCTGTTATCATGGCTCAGAACAGTGTATTTCTTTCCTAGATATGATATGTGTTGTTTCTACATTACTTTTGGTTTTTAAGTTAAATATTCTTCTTCTGTTAAAGAAAAACCAAGTTGTACCCATATATAAATTACACCTTGATAAATTTCATAAATATATTAATAACATTTTCTCCAAGATTTAAATATGAGATATCACCAATACCCTGAGCTGAATAAAGTTGCTCTATCATTAACTAAGAATTTTTCCCCTTTCTTCCTTCTTTCTTTATTACTTCCTTTTCCCCCGTCTCCAAGAGTCCAATAATAGAATGCTTGAACAGTGGATAAATGATGTCATATATTTATCTGCTATCTTTCTTTCTTTTATTAAACCTTAAATTCTGTAAGGACAGAGGTTATACCCATCTTGTTTATTGCTGTCTGCTTAATGCCTAAGATTAGTATGTAGTAGGAATTCAGTAAATTAGTTGAATGAATGAATGAATAGTAGGACATGTAATATGAATGCTGCTCTTAAATATTAGCTTTGTTGAAAATCCGTTTCTTACATATTGAAATATTTCTATTATAAAATATGATGAGGAGAAATAAAAGAAAAATATTTTCAGTATGAATATGTTTCAACTGAATTTTCTACTTGCTTTTTAACACTTAAAGAATAGTGTGATCAGCAATCAATTTAAAGTAGTTTTTGAAACTCAACTTTTTGGATTAATATTTGGAGCTACATTTGATCATGTGACCTTTATTAGCTCAACTAACGTAATTTATAGCCCAACTAAATTAAAGTAGTTTGAGGCCATAATATGGAAATACTCATATTTTTACCATGAGTATCAGTTTTAAGGGTTTTAATTGAAACATGATGTAGGCTATGTAGATAATAGCATTTTTATTGTTTATTTCAAATTGTAACTTGAGAATTTTAAGGATTGAAGAATATTTCCAAGTATAACAGAAAATTATATGCTCTTGGGTTCAGAAATTATTATTTAAGCAAAATAGTGCAGTATAAAAAGCCTGACTAATCAGAAACACAAGGACCACAGTAAGTGTACATAACTCCCCCAAACAATGGTAGTATAGACTATTCATTTAATTTTTGGATAAAAGATATGTACAAACACTGCAGTTACTTAGGAGACAAAAAAACAAAAAACAACTAACTGCTATGTGGGTCTTGATAAGGTAGAAAGTAGTCATAAACTTAATTTGATATATTATGAACTTTAATTTGGCCGCTTGTTTAGAAAGTCTGTTAATACTTGGCCATACAGCAGTATACTTGGAGAATAAAATTCTACTCAAGGTTTCATAATTTCTTTTCAGCTCTACCTAATTGTAGTATCTCTGTTACTATTTGCCTAACTTTTGTCCTGTTGTGACTTTAAGGGTATATTTTCATCCTATATTTTTCTCTAGGCATCCACAAGGACAAAGATAAACCTCCCAGCTTCTCTGTTGTCCTTGAGACGTTGAGGCATACCTTGACAGATTACCAGAACAAGCTGGAAGATGCATCTAATGAGGTAACACTTGCACTGTTTGGCTCCACACATATAGCCTTTGGCCTGTACCAGTACGTATTCCTTGCTTGTTACAAAGGTCAAAAAGATTGGGAATGTTGAACTGACAGCTTCACAGATACAAAAAATAATAAATTGTCTGTCACTGTTCTTTCTTTAAGTGTGGCCTCAAGTCATGTCTCACTTATGTTTTCTTCAGTCGTACTATTATTTTCAAAGTTATAAAGACTATTGCTTCTTGATTTTCATAATTTATCTGTTTTAACTTAGTGAAAACACTATGCAAGTAGTTTAAGTTAATATGTACTGGATTGAAATTTTAATATGTTTCTATGACATTTGGTGTAGCTAGTAGAAATTTAGGTTTTGTCAGTATTTTAGGTTAAGATTTCTGTGAACTGTGGAAGTCGTAATAAAAAAGAGAGAAATTGGTTTTTATTCTCTAAAGGCAGTAAAGTGTTGTTAGAAGTTTTAAAAAAACAAGTATCTGTTTGATGTAGCCTGGGAGCTTTTAGTTTGCTGATTGAAAAAGCTCATGCTTCTATTTATCATCTCATTTGTATTGTTTAATGTGTGGGTTGATAATTTTCTTGGGTATTAAAATGTTTTATGAATTTGTGCTTTAAAAATTGAAGAGTTTGTCTAGTTACATCTTGTCAAATTATCATATAAAGTAATTACATTAAATACAATTAGTTAGCAAAACAACAAACAGATTGTTAGAGTCAAAGACAAGTCACATAGCATGGAATTTTGAGTTTATCCTTGTGTTTATCTCTTTCATTCATTTAAGATAAAGGCCATAAAATGTGTACGTTTCACATTTCAGATGTGGCTTATTTTATTTTAGCTTGCTAAGATGAACAAAGAAGGAAAAGTGAGTCTTCTTAATACCCTCGGTAATTGTTCAGAGGCATAAAAGAAAATGACCATTGAAATAATTAAATTTCTATGAAGAACAAATATTATGAAGTCTTTCCCTGTGAGACAAGACAACCTGTATTGTTAGTAGTTTATGAAACTCTTCTGAGGCCTAGGTCTGGAAGCTGCAGGGTAACTAGGAACATATTACCCACAGCGAATTGTTATTTGGGAGGATGAATGTCACATGATCCTCAGCACAGTTGAAAAGTCGACTCAGCAGGCTTTGGCTTAGTAATGCGCTTTGTTGTGAACCAGTGCCAGAGACAGCAGTGGGGAGACCAAGGGGGTGGCTGCAAAGAAAGCAAAAGGAGCAGTCTGACAGAAAGAAGAATGAACTGTCAAAGAAAATAAATCACAAGCGGTGCAGGACCAACTGATGACCTGCCACAAGCCTTCCCAGTAGGACTGCATGTGACCGACCCTGAAGTTGTCATATGGAGTGAGAGACCAGTGAATACCCTCATGATGTATATAAAGAACAGTCTTCTGCTCTGTTCTCTTTTCTTTCCGTATAGATGCCACTGCTTCTGTCATTTTGGTCCAGTAGGATTTTTAAGAATAAAGTTGTATTTGTTTACCATAAGAATGAAATCTTTTATCTGGATGTGTAGTAAAAATACAGTAACATCAGTGATATTTTAAGTTTGAATGCTTTATTTTCTTTTTAGCCATGTGAACTTGTGACAGAAACTATATAGCATTTAACTAAAAGAAATAATTTTTAAAAGACTGTTAATTACTATTGAAAAATTTGTATTTAAGTCTTTGCATTAAAAGCACTTAGAGATTAGCTTTTGAGTTACCCATCCTTGAAAAATGTAAAAAAGTTACTTACATTTTCTCTCATCAGCTAAACAGCATGAATGATGCTAAGGAAAAGGCATGTAATGAGCTTGATTCTACGAAACAGAAGATAGACTCTCACACTAAAAATATAAAGGTATCATTTAGAATAACTTTTACCTTTTGTATTAAGAAACAAATATAGTTATCTAGGGAATATTTTAATATAGAGATATTGAGGTACCCCAAAATATATATTTCTATTTTTTAAATTATGTTTGGATACAATTTTAATTTTTTCTTGTTGATCAAGAGTAACAATAATGTTTTTTCATTAAAAAAATAAAACTTGATTGGAAATTATTTTGGTTAAAGGAAAGTTTGTTTCGCAGATTTAATTATAATACATTATGAGATTCAAATAATTATTTAAGATTAAATGTCCAACCTTAGGTACATCTTAAACATATTTTACATAAGCACATCCGTACATGGAGTCAGTTTTCATCATTTTTAGGGTGGAGCCATTGTTTTCAGTGTATCACGTCTGTTAATGGGCTGAGACCACACCTGGCTAAGGTCCAGGACGATAGTTTATTTTAGTTTCTGTGCTGGTTTTAGGTACTACATCTTTGCAAAATTATACTGAGTCGACTCTCAGAAGTTTCTCAGTATTGCTGGAGTTTTTTTGTGTTGTTTCATGTTGGGTTTGTCATGGACACACTTCAATAGAATTTGTTAGGTTTAAGGAATAAATAGTTCAGCAGAATTTTGTGCTACATATTTGGGATTTCTATAAATATTTGGAATGTCATTGGAAAGTAAATGTTCTTATATTAAATGTAAGATATTTATTTTAAAAAAAATTTAAAAAAGTTTTGAACTACAATGTTATTTTTAAAAATAGATTGAAAGGAAACTTCCTTGAAAGAACTTTTTGGAATAAGCCATTATATTAACATTTTATGTAAATGTTCAAACATAACAAATATTCTAATTTTTGAGCTCAGTTATATTTAGAAAATACATTCAGTAAAATAATTTAAGCAGATGCTTGTTTTCCTTTGTGATTCTTTCATTTTAAAGCTTTGAAAATTTTCAATATGTATTTTATACTAGTGTCCCATCACCCCTTATTGACTGGCCTTTCTACGGTCTCTTTATTTGGTATCTATGACAGGAACTTCAGGATAAACTGGCTGATGTCAATAAAGAGTTAAGTCATTTACGCACTAAATGTGCAGACCGAGAGGCTTTAATAAGCACTTTAAAAGTGGAACTACAAAATGTGCTACACTGTTGGGAGAAAGAAAAGGCTCGAGCAGCCCAGTCTGAAAGTGAACTGCAGAAGATTTCCCAGGCTTTTCATAAGGATGCTGAGGTATTACCTGAGACTAAATGACTGTCAGGAAAGGCCTTTCTCTAATCTCAGTGTTATATATCAAGTGACTATTTTTACCTGTGTTTAATTAAGAAAATTGTTCTGAGAAGAGTATTTTGAAATGTTCATGACAGCTGCAAAATCACTTATTTCATTACTCTTGTGTCATTCTCTTTTGTGAGAGAAATACTATAACTTGCACAATTAATCTTTTTGATGATCATTTGTACAACGATCTTTTTGGACTTTTAGACCATTGTAACTCAAGTAACTATGCTCCTAACAGTCCTTTCAAGATTTGCCTGTTTGCCAATGACAAAATTATTTTTTATTTCAATAGCTTGGTAGATTGACATGGTGGAAAGAATAAGTATTTTGTAATCAGATAGACCTGTACTTGGATTCTGATACTTCTGCTTATAAATAGTGTGGCTGTGGGCAAGCTGTACAGCTTAGTGTTGCCACATCTTAGTTTCCTTATTTTTTTTTCTTTTTTGAGACAAAGTCTTACTCTGTTGCCCAGGCTAGAGTGGAGTGGTGCCATCTGGCCTCATTGCAACCCCTGCCTCCCAGTTCAAGTGATTCTCCTGCCTCACCCTCCCAAGTAGCTGGGATTACAGGTTCCTACCACCATGCCTGGCTAATTTTTGTATTTTTAGTAGAAATGGGGTTTCACCATGTTGGCCAGGCTAGTCTCAAACTCCTGACCTCAGGTGATCCTCCTTCCTTGGCCTCCTAAGGTGCTGCGATTACAGGTGTGAGCCACCATGCCTAGCCTAGTTTCCTTATTTGTAAAACAGTAATAATATCAGCTTTAACAGACAGCCTCCTTACTCTGTATAATTATGGGAGGTTAACAAAAATTTAGAAAAATAAAAATTCCATAAAACCAAAACTTTTCATTTAGATACCCTGGAGAGTTGCCTATCGATTTTTGTTTATTAATGGCTTATAAAAATATTATGACACAAGTTTCTTATTTTGTGTGAGCTTGTGTGAATGGAATTGTCATCTAGTTCTTTTTACTCTATGGGTTATAGAGCTAGGCTAGCTAGTGGAACTGGTTTATCTAAGTCATCCTGCATATTGAGTTCATTACTCCAACAAATATGAACATGAATGCCAAGAGAGTAAAAAGGAAACATTCTTTCCACTCTTTTTACAGTCTGGGATTTAAATTGTGTCCACATGAAGGGATTGGAATTGCTCTACACATCAGATAATGATTAAAGTAAAGGAAACTAGAAGCCTGACTGTATTGTAAAGTCAGCATGTCTACAGCACTGTGGTTGGGTTCAACATGTGTGAATTGATTTTGGATTCTCTTTTCATGCCAAATGGATGATTATCATGCATGGTTTATCACAGCCCAAGCAAAAAGTACATAATAGCGACACAAGGAATTATCCTTGAGGATGAACTTCCTTGAGGATGAACGTGATCACTAGGCAAAATACAGGAGGAAGATTTTTATGCATTTGTTAAGTTATATTTAGTAAGACTTTAAAACATTTTGACCTAGTTAAAAAATGCAAAAGTCATCATTAACTGCTTATGAAAAGGCACAGCATATTTGTGAAAAAAATCTGATTTTTTATATTTGTTGTTGTAACCTCATTTTCAAAAATTTCCATTTTTAAATTACTGCCTTTGGAAAAAAAGTAAGGTAGTATACATAGTGAATTAAAGATATACATTTTGATATTTGTAAGAAAATATTCTCTATAACTTATAAAACTTTTGCATATGCTATATTCAGTTTTTAAAAAATCTATAGCAGACTTTGTAAATTTTTCTTTTTACATTTGTCCCCTTTAAAAATTTTCTTCCTTTTGATATATTAAAAAATCTTGAGGAAACTTATTTTATCTGTATAAACTATTCATTTTGCAGCTCCATAATTACCTTGTCTTTGAGTTCCATGTTTTGGGACTTTACAGATGAAACACCTTATAAAGAGAGCTATTTGATATTATAGTAAGTAAACTCTCCTCATGTGTTCAAATGTGATCTGCTCTATACAAATTTTGTAGCATAGTGTTTCTAAGTCCTTTGGCAATGGATAGTTTAATTACCAAAGTGGTAATATAATTTTAAAGAACTTTTAAAAAACATATTTCTAATTGGACATTTTTGAAAGTATGTCTTGAGCAGCTATATTCATTTTTGCTATTACTTTATAATATTTAAACAACTAGAAATGCCCAGTGTCCCAAATACTGTATGAACTTATAAGTGGAGAAAACAAATGAGCCCATCTTCCATATCTTTCATATCACTATCTGCTTTGCCTAAGGGGCTTGGGATAGCTTTCCTATAAGTAGTAAGTAAACTGGAATCTCTGGAAGAAGAAGAAAGCTGAGTAACTGTGTCCATGTAAAGTATAGATATTGGTATAACTTTTCTTCATCAGAGTAGAATAACACTCTTTTTTTCTGTATCGTTTTTTGACAAGTGGTATCCGTTTTTGTCAAATGTAAATATTAAATTATAGAATTACTATATTGAGTTACAGTTATATAGGCTTATAAACGAGTCCAGTCCCGACACCTGGTGTGATAGCTAAGGAAACTTAGGCCTGAACAGGTGTTTACTCAAATCACAACCTCATCAGTAGCAGAACTGTGGATGAATCTTGGTCTTCTGGCTTCTAGACTTTAGATTTTGGTTTTGAATACCAAGTGTAAGCAATTCCAAATGTTCTATCTGGTGCTTAGTTTTGAATATTAAAAAAAGTCATTAAAATATTCTGAGACTTGAGTATTGTAATTTCTTTTCAGGTTTTCGAAATTAATTCTTCACTGTTTGTATTATGTATTTTACTTCTTACATTGTTTATATTCAGGAATTAATTTTCGTTTTTTTTCCTGCAGGAGAAGCTAACCTTCCTTCACACCTTGTATCAGCACTTGGTAGCAGGCTGTGTGCTCATAAAACAACCAGAAGGCATGCTGGATAAATTCTCTTGGTCTGAGCTTTGTGCAGTCTTGCAGGAGAATGTTGATGCCCTGATTGCAGACCTCAACAGGGCTAATGAGAAGGTAACTGTCCTCAGGCACCAGATACCTCTATTAAATTCAGTGACATTTGTCCACATCACAGTATCATTAAGAGGGGCTGACATTCATCTTATTTCAAAAAGAATTTGGATGTTAATAATTCAATACCATTAATTATGGCTTGTCTACAACTCAGTTTGATGCCATTGCTGTGGGCATGTAAATGTGACTGAAGTCTGTATGAAGTCTCTAAGCTCCACTTTCTGTGCAGGACATGCTAATACTACTAGCCAGTATTAGCCACAGGGACCTAATTAAAAGAAAATAAATTAATCTTACTGATGAAGCAATTCAAAGAACTTAGTCATTTACATTAATAAACCAACTCTTTATGTTAGCATAAAATAGAAACAGGGTACAGTTACTCAAAAACATGATCTTAAAATTCTTTGCTTAGGAAATATCAGGTGTTATTTTAAAAGCACTTAAACATTTTAAATTATATGCTTATGATTTGCTTCTTGAAATACAACAAACTATATATTACAAAACTCATTCCATGCTTTAGAATGTAAAAAGTGTATTTTGTAGGAGAATATAGTAGACCTTTATGGTAGCATTACTATCTCACAAGCCTGGGAATTCAGTCTCCAACAAGTATTTAAAAACCTGCTTTTGGTTATAGAATATAGCAGTGGCTTAGCAGATCAACGTATGCCACCATTAAAGACATTGGTTCTTATCCTGGGTCTATTGAACTGGTCAGAATTGTGTTTATGTGGTTTAGTTTCCAGGTCTTAGTTACAATGACATTTGCTCTTAAGGGACAAGAAGAAAAAACTGTCCTGTAAGTTAAAAAATAATTCTGTTGAAGTAATAAAACAATGTATTGACCCAATTTCAGAGTGATATTTTTTATTATTGAGCATTTTATCTTGGTCCTATTGACAAATACAACCATAGACACTGAGATGCAGGGCTGAGAAATAAGGAAATAAGTTATGAGCATCACAGAGGCTATTCATGGTTGTGCATGTGTACATAATGGATTTGAAAATTACGGGTAATTAAAATGAATATGTTTAACTCTATGAGATGGTATTATGTTTTTACTAGTTTTTATTGTTTCAAAACATCCTTAATAGTCATACATTTTAGAAAATGAGCATTTTCTTTCCAGTGTTTGAATGTGAAATGAAAAATGGTTACAACGTTCTGCTTCATTTCATGTAAACTGTTTGCAGATTTTAAAATCTTATTTACTTTCTTTCCCATTGAAGTATTTGAATAGCTGGAGCCTTGATTTCAGAAGTAACAATATCTTTCTCAGTCTCAATCAAATTAATTATAGAATAAGTAACTTCATTAGAAAGAGAAGATGAAAAATTTGCCATCTAAGTATAAAAATGACACTATTTTCCGCTAAAGTATGGCAATTTACTCTGCTATTTTCTTTTTTAAAAAATTTATTCACATTTTATGTTACAATTTTTTTATGATCTTAAGGAATAAAATATATTAGAACATTTTGGTTGTTTCGTTGGGGGAGATGACACAAAGAAATGGCTTGTGAGCATATTTCCTTATCTGTTGCATCTCCGCATATAGATAAGCCATTTAGAGTATATCTGTAAAAACAAGTCTGACACAATGAGAGAGCTTCAGCAGACTCAGGAAGACACCTTTACCAAAGTGGCAGAACAGATCAAAGCCCAAGAGAGCTGCTGGCACAAACAAAAGAAGGAACTGGAGCTGCAGTATTCTGAACTCCTCCTGGAGGTGCAGAAGAGGGCACAGGTATGCTACCATTACAAAGAGCTTTAAAAAATGGATTACTCAGTGTAACCATATGAAGTATTTTTCTTCTAGTAACAATGCTAAATCAGTTTAAGCTTCTTAACATCATAGAACTTGTTTAGATGCACATACATATGTTTAGATGCACACACGTATGTGTGTGTGTGTATGTGTGTTTATATTAAGGATTGTCTTTCATGTAAGTTTGGAAATATATGGGTTTTTGATTAAAATATCCCCAAATGCATTGATCAGCTAATTAAATGCTAAAATTGTATTTCCTTTATTTATTTTTAAAATGAAAGATCAAAGTATTTGATAATATATTGTCAGTTTTAGTGTAGGTATTCTTTTATCTGGTTTACTTCATTTGTGGAGGTTCCTATATGAACTATCATTTAAATTTATTTGGGGTTAAAATCTCTTATGCCTACTGACATTATATAAGAACTAACATTATAGTTGTAGGCCATGTATCAAAAGTAATTCACTATGAGTTGTGTTATGTATTATATCTTGACTGAGAGTAGAAGTTATGCATTGTTAACATAACCATGTATTTTCTATACAAATTATTGTCAACATTATTTATATCATTAACTACCATCCTCACCCAGTCAGGAATAACAGGATGATAGAGTATACTTTTTTGGCATTGAATTTATTGATAGGCCACTTTTGTTCCTAAGTTAGGATACTTAGGAACCAGAAGATTGTATATTCTTCCCATGGTTGATTATTTAACCTCTTTATTTGATCCATTCATGCTTATATTGGCAAGTCTAACTAAAAAATAACCAAACCATATAAATATACACACATATATAAATAAAATTATTATGATTATGTTTTATTTGCTAATAACTGGTTTCAGAGGGCATAAAATCAGGCCATTCTGTATCCCCTAATTTAAAGCTCCTTTATGAACTTATGCCTTTCTATATGAATTTGAATGAATCAACAAATATACCATCTAAAAGTAGTAATTTTTTCATTGAATGCAGACAATATTATATGCTCTACATTTTCTGCTATTGAAGTAAAAGACCTAAACTATTTATTTTAATTTTGTAGAGGTAACTTTGATATACAGTGAAGTGCACAGATCTTAAGTGTATAATTTGATGTTTTAAAAAAGTATTTATTTGATATGTAATATATGTACATATTTATGGGGTACATGTGATACTTTGATACATGCATAGAATGTGTAATGCTCAAGCTAGAGCAGGATGTCTATCACCTTGAACATTTATCATTTCTTTGTGTTGGGAACATTTCAAATGTTCTATTCTTGCTATTTTGATATATACAACATATTGTTGTTAATATAGTCACCCTACTGGGCTATTGAACAGTAGGCCTTATTCTTTCCATCTTAGTGTATGTTTGTACCCGTTAACCTACCTCTCTTCATCCCTTCCCTCCTCCAACACACCCTTCCTAGATTGTGGTAACTACAATTTGATGTTTTGATCAATGTAAACATGCATGTGATCATTACCCCATTTAAGACTTCAAACATCTTCATTACCTAGAATGTTCTCGTATGCTCTCTTCCAGTCAGTTTTATGCCTCATAGGCAAACATTGTTCTGATGTCTGTCATCATAGATTAGTTTTCACCTGTTCTTGAATTTCCTGTAAGTGGAATCATTCAGAAGTCATTGGTGGTTACCTAATTTCACTCAACATTAATGTTCTGAACATAATGTCATTTATGTTGTTGTGTGTATCAGCACTTCATTCTTCTTTGTGGTCATGTAGCATTCCATTTTATCACAGCACCACTATTTGATGGGCTGTGGGTTGATGGATATTTGAATTGTTTCTGCATTTTAGATATTGTAAATAAAATTGCCGCAGACATTATTATAGAAATCTTTTGTCAACATATGTTTTTATTTCTCTTGGTTAACTACTAAAGTGCAGTTGCCAGGTCATGGGATATATGTGTGTTCATAAGAAACGTAAGAAACTGTCAGAAATTTTTTAAAAAAAAACTGGTGTCACTTTTATATTCCCACCAGCAAAATATGTAAGTTTCCATTGTTCTACATCCTCTGCGGTGCTTGGTTTTATCAGTCTTTTAAATTGTAGTCATTATAGTGGTTTTAAAATGATGTTTCATTGTAGTTTAAAATTGCATTTTTATGGTGATTCATGATGCTGAGTACCTTTCATATACTTACTGGCTATTTGTATATCTTCATTTGTACAGTGTCTCTTCTACTATTTTCTCATGTAAAAAATAGAAATATTTGTGTTTTAACTGTTGATTTCTAAGAGTTCTTTATATATCCTGGATACATATTCTTTGTCATATATATGCATCACAATATTTTCTCTCAATCTCTTGCTTTCCTTTTCAGTGCTTCTTTTGATGATCATAAGTTTTAAAATTTTGATGAAGTCCAACTTGTAAATATTTTTCTCTTTTGGCTGTTTATATATGTGAAATGACTTTTCTATACTCCAAGGTTGGGAAGATAATCTCTTGTTTCTTCTAGAAGTTTCATAGTTTTAGCTTTTATGTCGAAGTTTGTGATCCCTTTCAAATTAATTTTTGTGTGTGATGTTAGGTAGAGTTTCATTTTCCCCCCTTAATTTATTGTTCCTACATCATTTGTCCAGTACTTTTCTAGCTGAATTGCCTTGGTACCTTTGTGAAAAAACAGTTGGCCATATTTAGAAACCACAGACTTGTCTATCTCTATAGTTTTGCCCTCTCCAGAATGTCATATAAATGGAATCATACAGACCCTTTTGGGTCTGGTTACTTTCACTTAGCAAAATATATTTGAGATTCAGTCACATTGTTGCATGTGTCAGCAGTTCATTCCTTTTTACTGCTGAATAATATCTCATTATATGGCTATAAAATTTTATCCAAATGCTGATGAGCCTTTGGATTGCTTTTATTCTTTTGGCAATTATGAGTAAAGATGCTTTAAACATACATGAAAAGGTTTTTGTATGGTCACATTTTTGTTTCTCTTGGGTAAATACTTAGGAGTTTGATTTCTAGATTGTATGGTAAGTGTATATATGGTTATATGGTAAGTGTAACTTAAGCAACTATTAAATTGTTTTTCAAAGTGACTATACCATTTTGCACTCTTGCTAGCAATTTAAGAGATTTAGGTTGCTCTGCACCTGTGCCAATGTATGGCTTCATCATTTTTTCTTTTGAATTTTGCCCATTATAATAGGTGTGTAGTGCCATGTTTTTGTGATTTTGATTTATATTTTCCCCACTGTCTAATAAATTAAGCATTTATTTATGTGTTTATTTGCTATTTGTGTATCTTTTTTGGTGAATTATCTGTTCAGATATTTTCAGTTTTTAATTGGCTTGTGTGTTTTCTTACTGTCAAATTTTGAGAATTATTTACATATCTCAGGTTTAAGTCACTTGTCACATATGTGATTTGTAAATATTTTCTACTGTTCTTTTAGCAGTACTTTTGCAAAGCAAATGTTTCAAATTTTGATGAGACTCACTTATGAATTTCTCTTATGGATTCTACTTTTGACATTGCATCTAAGAACTCTTTGCCTAAGATTATGGGCACCAAGATTTTCTCCTATTTTTTCTATATGTTTTATAGTTTTAAGTTTTACATCTGGGTCTATGATCAATCTTGAGTTAGTTTTTGTAAAGGTGTGAGGTATGGATTGAGGTAAGTTTTTTTTTTCATATTCATATCCATTAGAGTACCATTTATTGAAGTAACTGTTTTTTTATTGAATTGCCCTTGCACCTTTATCAAAAATCAGTTCACTGTTTCTGGCAGTCTGTCTCTAGACTTCCTTGTCTGTCCTGTTTATTTATGTATCTAATTCTTTTTTTTTTTTCAATACTATACTGATTTAATCACTCTAACCTTTTACTAAGTCTTAAAATCAGGTAGTGTGAGTCTTTCAACTTATTTTTCATCAGTGTCCTGAACTCTTTGAAATCTACAGGAAGGCAAGCAATTCACTTTTTTCTCTTTTTGAGACAGACTTTCACCCTGTTGCCCAGACTTGAGTACGGTGGCACAGTCACAGCTTACTGCAGCCTTAACCTCCTGGGGTCAAGTGGTCCTCTCACTTGAGCTTGCCAAGTGGTTGGGACTGCGGGCATGCACTACCATGCCTAACTAATTTTATTTTCAAATTTTTTTTGTAGAGATGAGGTCTCACTCATTTCTATGTTGCCCAGGCTGGTCTCTAACTCCTGGCCTCAAGTGATCCTCCTAACTTGGCCTCCCAAAGTGTTGTGATTACAGGCATGAGCCACTATACTCAGCTGCAATTCACTTTTTGAAGAGAATCAGTCATCACAAATGCTAATGTTTTAGGAGAGGCTCTTGCTGAAGACTTTTCTCTGAAGAATTTATAACACCTTAGTCTTTGACCCATATGTCTACCAATTGAAATGATCATTTTCATTATTCCAAAAAGTACATTACTATTATAAATTGGCAGCGATTTATTTTGGTTTTATATTTGGTAAACTGTTATTATAATACATATTATAGGACCTGTAAATTTTATTTTAGGAAATTTTGTGATGATTAATTCTATATCTTTTATCCCCAAAAGTACAATGCAAATAAAAAGTTTCCATTTTATATTACTTAATAAATTTTCAAAAATTATGTTGAAAATCTGCAGGGGAAAAAAATCCGCAGTTGTTATGTGGGATTGTGAGTTATAGAGGATGTCTGGTGTCAGATGCACATAACCATAAGTACATTTCATCTGCTGGGAAATAAATGACTCATTCTTAGAGTCTTGTGTTTAAAGTTTGGCCATTGTAAAGAAGTGATTACTGAAAAACAATACATTAAAATTAAAAAATAATATTTGAATTTGATTGCTTTTATCTGAGAAAAATGTAATAGATATTTAAAAAGTAATATTTGTAAGAATCTAATATTACTGACTTTTTAAATGTATAAGCTTTAAAACAATTAGTGTAAATGCTACTAGAAAAATGAAATTTGTAGAGAA